GTTAGCTTTGTTGAAGGGGATCGCCCGCCCTAAGTCTAGCCCTAAACAAACATAATAGAAGTTGTACATCAATATCATTGTTGTCAAATATGTTTAAATACAATGTTGAATAAAGATATAAAGAATTACTAGAGCAAAAAGATCATGGTGAGTTTTCATGACAAAATAGCATATCCTTCTATGGTTAAATACATAGGATCAAACATGCTGAAATAAGGGATGAGTCAAACTACCTACCCTCAGTTTTAGTAAGAGAGACATTCACAACTTAACAATTCCCATGCACTTTAATGTGTGTCATTGAATTAAGTAGTAATAATATGCATTTATTCTTTTTTGTGATGCCAGGAAATCTATTAATGACTAGTCTTCTGAGTTGATGAAAATTGTTGGTTCTGTTGTTCACTTCATTGCAAAAACATTAAATATTGATCTCAAACTGATGGACGACAAATATGTGTCTCAAGTTTTGAGGATGAATTACTACCCTCCATGCATGACCATGGCCGAAAAGGTATTGGGTTTCTCACCACATTCAGATGCATCTTTTCTAACCCTCCTTTTAGAAATTAATTCAGTGGAAGGCCTTCAAATTAAAAGGCACAGTGCATGGACCATAGTGAAACCAAATCCTAAAGCATTGCTGGTGAATGTGGGTGACTTTCTGGAGGTATGAAATCTTTTTAGAAAATTATGTTTGTCAAAGATATTCTAACTAGATGATGTATTCTCTTCTTAAATTACTTATGGAATTATAGGAAAATATTAACCACTATTTGATAAATATATCACAACTTAAATAAAATAATCTTATATGTACTCTTTTTTTAGACATTAATGTACGTTTACTTTAAATATACAGGGTAATGCATCTTGCAAAAACATTGTTTATGTGTGCTTGCATTTAAGTTGTGCCTACCGGTTACATCAACGGGTCATGTTCATAATTTTTTTTTCTAGTAATGTTTTGTCTACAACCTTGTGTTGAACTTCAAACAATGCTTCCATCACTAAAAGATCACCCTAGTGTGAAGGCGTGGGAATGGATTAAAATCCATGTCCATATCAAAGGGATACATGGCATATCCATATATGAGGAAGAGACAAATCTAGTCAAGTGAAATTAAAGCTGCAGAATGTCCAATCCAATCTAGTCGCCACAAGTTTGAAGTCCATCCAAATTATCCAATTAGCCAACAGCTTTGGGTGTGTTTGGTTGCTTTCATATGGCTGCATCATATATCTCGGTTGAGTGGAAACACGCTGAGTGGATGTAGTGACCTAAAAAGAAGAGTGTTTAGTTGGCTGCATGGGCATAAGTGTGCAGTGAGGTAGAAGGATAGCAGGATAAGGATGTCAATCACTCTGTTACAGTGACCATCTAGAGCAAGACGTTGACGGATGTAGCGTACCATTGAACTCCATTTATTACTCATCTTGCCAATTCCCGATTCTACTCCCACCACACAAATGGGAGATTTCTAAACCTCTATCTTTAGACTCCTATTCCCTTCTCCAATTTTCTCCAACCATTAGACAACAAAATCTAATCCCAGGTCTAGACAATAGTAGAAAAAGTTTTTTTCATGTTAACATTTGGAAAGGGGGTTTGTTCTCTATGCCCTTATTATATTTTACAATATAGTGCACTATATTTATTTAGATATATCATTACTTTTTTAATAATAAATGATGGACCAACTTGCTATCCCATTTGTCTTATTTTTGTTTATTGGATGATGTTTGTAGATTATGTCAAATGGAAACTACAAGAGTGTTGAACACAGGGTTACAATAAATGCCAATCAAGAACGGTTAACCATATCGGCATTTCATATTCCATCACTTGATGGAGTAGTTGCACTTGTGGCAAGCATTGTAGAAGAGAGGATCCTATTGAAAGGGATCGTGATGCCTAAGAGAGGGGGTGAATTAGGCAACTTAAAAGTCTAACTCTTAACTATGGCTTCTTTTTCTATTCTTAACAAAACATATGCAAAAGATAAACTATCTAAATATGCAACTACAATTTTGCTAGTGTGTTGCTATCTCTACCGCAAAAGGAGTTTATGCAAACAATGTAAATGCGGAAGCTAAAGAGTAAGGTAGAGATATGCAAACTCCCATCGACGACTCCGGTATTTTTACCGAGGTATCGAGAAGCGTGCAAGCTTCCCCTAGTCCTCGTTGGAGCCCCTCGCAAGGAATCCCTCGCAAGGGCTAAGCTCCCGGTCGGGTAACTCCGTGGATAGCCCTGGGCCTTCCCCACGCGCAAGTGGGTCTCCGATGTGCCTTCCGGCAAGCCTCTCCTGGACCGCTCCCCGCTGTCTTCACTATCAAGTTTCCGGTTGAACCGCCGCGGGCCTTGTTCCCTTCGGTACACGGTGGCGGCCACACCACAAATGCGGTTGGTGTGATCTTGCAAGACTACAAGCCCATCCGATGTACAACAATGGTGCGCGCAAGCACCGAGTGGTAAGATGTATGCAAACCTCACTAAACACTAGGCCTAAACCTAGAGCAAGCGCATAAGCGGTGGTCTAATCAACCTAAGCATTTTGCAAAGCACCTACACTAATCACCTAATGAATCACTAAGCACTATGCAAGTGAAGATCACTAAAATGGTGTATTAACATCTTTGGTATGTTTCCTCAGCTCCACTTAACTCAAATGTCCGGTTGGGGGTCTATTTATAAGCCCCACTGAGAAAGTAGCCGTTGGGGACGAAACCCACCTTTCTGCTACTGACCGGACGCTGCTGTCGTCCTGACCGGACGTGTCCGGTCGTCCCGACCATTGAAGCTAGAGCGTTGATCGGACTCGACGCTGAGTCCAGTCACTGTCGATCAGACGTGTCCGGTCGCGTTGGCGCCACTCTGGAACCTCTCTGGACTCGATCGGACACTTCAATTCCTGCATCCGGTCGATCACCCTCCAGCGTCCAGTTAGTGCTGAGCTATTGTCGCGACAGTGAACAGTGTCATCATCGCGTCCGGTCACTTGAATCCTCAGCGTCCGGTCGCTGCTGCTGACGCCTGCCGTTGCCGAGCATCTTGATCGGACGCATCCGGTCGCTATAAGGACCGCGTCTGGTCACCTCTGTGAAGCTTGTTTCTTCGTGATCTTGCATCCGGCTTGGTTTCTATCTTCGTGCTTGGACTTTGTTTGATATCTTGGGTCTTCTCTTGTGTTTCTAGGGTCTTGCTTATGGTATTGATCGTGGGATCATCATGTCGTCTTCGTCCAAGTCACGTCTTGCACCTTATTGAACTACAAAACAATTACTTGCAAATTCATTAGTCCAATTTAGTTGTGTTGGTCATCAAACACCAAAATCCAAAGTAAATGGACCTAGGGTCCATTTTCCTTACACCTATACAAGACAACGGGAGTAGAAGAGTATTTAAAAATCTTTATGTCAAACAAACTGGAAGGGAAGAGAGCATTGGATCATGCAAAGTTATCATAAAAGAATGAAGATTTCTCCTAGGTGGGTCAAAGTGGTTGCTTGTAAGGGACTTATACAAAGATATGCAACTCTTATGTTAAAAAAAATATATGTTTATCTCTATATATTTTCGTCATTCTATAAAAGGTCGTCCGGCATGCGACATTGTTCATGTTCGGCATTAATGGTTCATGTTTATCAAGACTTTCATATTGTTGTTGCCAGTGGCGTAGCTTGGCCATGAAAAGAGGAGGGGCCAATATGTACGAAGTTCAAAGAGAGGGGGCAGATTAGTGTTTCATCACCACTTAAAATGGTCAAACTAAGACTTTCATTAAGGATGTTTCTAGCTTAGGGGGCATGGCCCACTATGGCCCTCACTAAGCTCTGCCACTAGTTGTTGCACTAAGACAGAAACATCAATCCCCTACACCTTTCATCACTATGGTACATTTAGAAGCGATAGTGGTAACACATCACCACTGTAATCCATCTAAGAAGAACCAAATAATGGTATTAAATGTTACCAATATCAGTTCATATAACTTCGATGATGCCTTAGAAAAAAAAATGATACTATTTAGGTATCATGTCAATAAAGTGAGTTCGATCGTGATGTCATGTTTGATAGCAAACTTCCTATACATTACACCAAGCCAATAACTAAAATAAACAATATGTATCGTGTTAGGCCCTGTTTAAAAATCATCGATTGGTTGAAGACATTTTCTCCATGACTCCTAGACTCAAGATGTATCGTGTTAGGCCCTGTTTGTTTTAGCTTGTGTATTACATATTGTTAAAATCTATGAGATTAGGGAAAGTATATTGTTTGATTGTTGCAATCTGAAACTTTTTTTCAGCCTGCAAGCTGAAATAAATTATAGGGCCTTATACTCCAATAAATAAAACGACGTTGATTATACATAATTTCACTAGTGTCGCACCACTTATATTGTCGCCTAGCCATCCCAGCTCGCATGGCTTGCCTTCCGTTTTTCTTAATCTCACAATATATACACACAATAGTACGTCATTCATTTAAGCTGAGTCAATCTCTAGTCAATTTCTAGGGATTAATCTTTACATAACATTTATCATGTGATTTAGAATTTATTGAACTTAATTGAAATAAGGTTGGAACAAGACTAATTAAATCCAACAAATTTAGATGGGTCGAGTTAACTGCACAACAAAATGTAATCCACGATCCTTTCCGAAGATCCATCAACCGTTGCCCATTATACCTGTTGTATCGTATCATTGTCACCTTGTGGCTGCTGGATTTATTTTTGTACCTGTAGTATCATATCATTGTCACCTTGTGGCTGCCGTGACCTGTGATAGCACGCTCATCATCCCCTTGGCATTACGAAGTGTCCTACAAGCTCCTAGGATTAATAAAAAGATGGTGAAGTAGCTGACAAAGTAAATCATAGATCTTGCTTGCCACTGTTTATTTACTCCATATAGACACTTGAAGCTCCGAAGGAGAACCTAGATATCCTGGCATTCGGCATCCTAGCATGGAACGTCGTCCAGCGGCGAGAATGGCCGGAGGAGGCGGTCCAGCAGCTCCAGCCCGCGGCACCCGCATCGTGCTGTTCCCGCTGCCGTTCCAGGGCCACATCAGCCCGATGCTGCAGCTCACCAGCGCGCTCCACGCGCGGGGGCTCGCCATCACCGTCCTCCACACGGCGTTCAACGCGCCGGACCCCGCGCGCCACCCGGCGTTCACCTTCGTCGCGGTGCCGGACGCCATCCCGGAGGCCGTGGCCGCGACCAACAACGGCCTCGCCGAGCTCCTCGCCCTGAACGCCGCCATGGAGGCGTCGGGGCACATCCGGGACGCGGACGAGGAGGAGCCCCGGCTGGCGTGCCTGATCTTCGACTCCACCCTCACCGCCGTGCACAAGGCCCCGGCTGGCCTTGGGCTGCCCACGATCGTGCTGCACACCAGCAGCGAGGCCTGCTTCCGTATGGCCAGGTCCTACGACATGCTCCTCGACAAGGGCTATCTGCCATCGACAGGTTCGGCAGTTTGGCACCAATAATACTGCCTCTGTTTCTAAAAATATTTGGTGATGTTTTATGAACGAATTTTCCATGAATAAAGCAGCTATGACGCATCTAATCCAACAGGACCGCATTACATTTTGTTTTTCGTTTCAGAGTCCAACCTACACATGCAGATAAAGGAGCTGCCACCACTGCAAGTGAGGGATCTGTTTGACCCAAGCAAGCTCCCCAACGAAGAAATCGGGCAGAGGATCTTGAATCTTGCTACCGAGACCACAGCAAACTCCTCTGGTGCAATATTCAACACATTTGAAGCACTTGAACCCCATGAGCTTGAGATGATCCGGGACGAACTTGTCCGTAATAGTATTCCACCCTTTGCTGTTGGTCCACTTCAGAAACTCATGAGCTCAAACGGCGATGGCGCCGAGACTAGTCTATTTGTCGGTGTTTCGGACCGGGGGTCCTCAACCAACTAGTAAAAGTGAATTGCGTGCCCCTAATCTCGGATGGTGATGCAAAGAGACACAAGGTTTATACTGGTTCAGGCAATTGGTGCCCTACGTCCAGTCTGAGAGATCGGTCTTGTATTCCTTACACCGAAGTGCTTGTAGTAGGGGGTTACAAGCTGGGTGAGAGAGGGAGCTAGTCCCAAGTCTCGACGTGGGACGGTGCGAGGTGCTTGAGACGCTGCTCTCAAGCAGCCCGGGAGCGTGGGTGTTACAGGATGTGTCTAGGGCGAGTATGGGAGCGCGGTTCTATCGTATGTCCTTCTTCTTCCCCCAAGCTATCCCTGACCGCTTCCTTTTATAACCGCAAGGAAGGAGCCAGGAGTACATGAGTAAGCTACACGTGGGGCCTACTGCAGTTTTGTCCTGTAGCAGCATGACGTTGGGAATGGAGATCGGTACTTGTCTGGCGCGCCGTGCTGGTCAGGTTTGAAGTGGTTGAGGTCGTGGGGGTCCTTGTCGATGTCTAGTCAGTATGACTTCCACGGCCGGAGACATGCCGTGCTTTGGTGGACTCTTGACCTGGTGGAGTGCCGAGGCCTAGCGGGTTGTAGCTAACCACGCCGAGGCCTGATTTGCCGAGGCTCTGGCGGGTGTTTGTAGCTGACCGCGCCGAGGCCTGATTTGCCGAGGCTCTGGAGGGAGCAGTTGGGCATATGCACTGATTCCGAGGCTATAGTGACCTGGTTTAGGTGGAAAAGTGCACGGCATGGTAAAAAAGGAGATTTGACCGTTGTCCCATCGCTCCTGTTGTTGTACCCTGCCGGTCGTGGCTGACGTAGCGGGTGTATTCAGGCGCATTAAATGGATGGGACAGCCTACCAGGGGGATGATTGAGGCGGAGGCGACGAGGATACGGGACGATCCCGGCCTCGGCCGAGGCGGAGAAAGAACAGTACGTCCGAGGCTCTACCGGGGGGTCTCGGACGAGGCGGAGAACGAGCAGCTGGGCTCTTCTGCTGTTGCTGAGACTACAGGGACCTGGACTTGACCTTCCACGCCGCTTTGTCCTTAGCGCAGGGGTTAGGTAGCACAAAGGAGTACGGTGTCGATGAAGGAGCACGATGATGAGCACAATGGCGAGTAACCCCGCTGCGCCGGCCTCCCTGTCCGTCGATTGTTCCGCTCAGACCGTACTGCACTGCAAAGTCGGCCGACGCTTATGGAGTGGTTGGGCGCATTAACCCGGATGTGACGTTTTGTCAGAGGAGTTCGGTCGGGACGGAGGTAACGAGGTTGTTTGCCGAGCCTAGCCTCGAGCGAATCAGAGAATTGGCATCCCGTCCGAGGCCTTTCGGAGCGGGGCCTCGGCGAGAGGGTCTCGGCGAGAGGCCTCGGCGGGAGGGTATCGGCGGGGCGGGGAGCTTTTGGCCTTTCGCATGAGGCTTTGGCGCAAGGCCTCAGGCGAATCGGAAAAATATGCTAAGACCTTGCGGTAGTCTTTCGGCTTTGATTTTTGCAAGGTTTAAGCAATATTTTTGGTTTCTTGCTTAGGGTACCCCTTCTTGCGGTATCCGACAGTAGCCCCCGAGCCTCGGGAGGAGTGAGGGCACTCTCCTGAGGTTTTTGTTGAGACTTGGCTCGCAACAGCTCCTGTTTGGGATTGTGTTTTGTACTCGAGGCCTCGGTGGGTGCGCGCGAGCGCACCCGCCGGGTGTAGCCCCCGAGGCCCTAGAGGAGTGATTTGACTCCTCCAGGGGCTTTTCTTACGTCGTGCGATGGATTTTTATTGCGCTAGTCGAGCCTATGAATCCGAGTTCGGGTCGCTGAGCCTTGGTTTAGTTATAGGAAGAACCCCCGAGCCTCCGCTCGAAGCAAGAGGGCGACCAGGAGTTTCCCTATCTTTTTTGCATTGCCCTCACGCATCCGTTTTGTTCGAAAGGAGGGGTGGAGGGTGTCATGCTACCCTCGGTGGGCACGAGCAGTGACACCTCCGGCGAGCTGTTATCGGGTAAGTCCGAGTGGAGGCCCGAACCCCGTTCGTTAGGGGTCGGCTAGCGGTCCAGAGACGCACTCCAAGAGTACCAGAGGGTTTCTCTAGTGGGTGCCGGGGCCGTTCGCTAAGCCCCGGTGGCTCGGTGCCTCCCTACGGTGGGATCCCATTCGGAGACCTCCCTGCTGGTCTCGGACACGGCTTAGAGCGTCCCAAGCAGTCGTCTGCTCGGGTCTCGGCCAAGCGCGGGCTCGCCCATAGTCGTCCCTGACTCTGTTGCCCTGGGGCAGCTGTCGAAACCCTTAGGGGCCCAGCCTTCGAACCCCTGGACCGTAACGGGCTCGATGCCCTTTTATCACGTTTTTTCGAGTCTTCAGGTGCGGGCTTGGGTCACTTGTCCTTGTCTTGGGTGCAAGAGGAGACCCCGAGCCTCCGCACGGAGCAAGAGGGCGGTCAGGGGCCCCCCTGACTTTTTGTTCGACCCTCGTACATCCTTTTCGTTCAGACAGAGGGGTTGTTTGCCGAGCCCACTCGTGTGCGAACCTGGGTCGCTGGGTCTCGACAAACTTGCAGGAAGAGCCCCCTGTCCTCTGCACGGAGCGAGAGGGCCGTCAGGTGCTCTCCTGGCTTTTTATACGCCCCTCGCGCGTGAGGGTTTGTTTGCTGAGACCCCCTCGGGTGAGAGCCTGGGTCGCGGGGTCTCAGCATATCTGCAGGAAGAGCTCCCTAGCCTCTGCCCGGAGCAAGAGGGCTGTCAGGAGTTCCCCTGGCTTTTTGTACGACCCTCGCGCAACCTTTTCGTTCGGAAGGAGGGGTGTGTTTGCCGAGCCCCCTCGAGTACGAACCTGGGCCGTTGGGTCTCGGCAAAGTTGCAGGTAGAGCCCCTTAGCCTCTGCACGGAGCGAGAGGGCGGTCAGGAGTTCCCCTAGCTTTTTATGCGACCCTCGCGCATCCTTTTCGCTTGGAAGGAGGGGGTTGTTTGTTGTGCCCCCTCGAGTGCGAGCCTAGGTCGCTGGGTCTCGGCAAAGTTTGCAGGGAGAGCCCCCGAGCCTCTGCATGGAGCGAGAGGGCGGTCAGGAGTTCCCCTGGCTTTTTATGCGACCCTCGCGCATCCTTTTCGCTCGGAAGGAGGGGTGGAATATGCCAGGCTACCCTCGATGGGCGCGAGCGGTGACACTTCCGGTGAGTTGCTATCGGGTAAGTCTGAGTGGAGGCCCGTGCCCCATTTGATAGGGGTCGGCTAGTGGTCCGGAGACGCACTCCAAAAGTACCAGAGAGCTTCTCTATTGGGTCCCAGGGCCGTTCGATTGGCCCCGAGGGCTCGGCCCCTCCCTACGATGGGATCCTATTCGGAGAACTCCCTGCTGGTCTCGGACACGACTTAGGACATCCCGAGCGATCGCTTGCTCAGGCCTCGGCCATGTACGGGCTCGCCCATAGTTGTCCCTGACTCTGTTGCCCTGGGGTGGCTGTTGAAACCCTCTGGGGTCCAGCCTTCGAACCCCTGGACCGTAATGGGCTCGGTGCCCAGTTCCTTAGTCTGGAAGGAATCGGCTGGGGGAATATTCCCCTCCCATCAACTGACAACGGCAGGCGCGCCTTTTGAGGTGGTCTCTCGGGTCCTGCCGTTGCTGCGGTTGGAAGCGACGCGGTGTTAGCGGACAGGACATAACCGCCTGTGCGATCAATGAGGAAAAGGTGGGCGCGTGGGCGGTGAAATCGGATCTGGATTTGCTGTGCCCGGACTTGAGGGAAACTTCCCCGATTTTGTCGCCTGACCGTTTCGTCCTTTCCCTACATAAATATGAAACGAGTCTCGACCATCCCCTCCTTACCTTGCCCGTACTCGCCTTTTCCGCCTTTGAGCCGTTGCCGAGAATAGAGAGCGCCAGGGAGAAGAAGGGAGAAGAGGGAGCGAGAGAGAGAGAGAGAAGCGAGAGAGACTTACCGCCGTAGCCCCCATTCCCCATCACACAATGGCCGGCGGTTCTCCTGTCATCCTCCCGGCGGATCCTTGGGAGCCGTTCGACATGTCTGTGGAGGTGCTGCAGTCGCTCATCGACGACGGCCTTCTTCGTCCGATCACCGACCCCAACAGGCCAGAGTGGATTGCTCCGTTGGGCGAGCGGGAGCCGCGGCCACGCGAAGGGTACGTCGTGAGCTTCGTCTCTTTCCACGAGCGTGGTCTCGGTGTGCCGGCGGACCGATTCATGCGGGCGCTCCCGTATTACTACGCGGTGGAGCTACACAACTTCAACCCCAACTTCATCGCGTAGGCGGCTATTTTCGTCGCTGTCTGCGAGGGGTATCTGGGGATTGCTCCCCATTGGGAGCTGTGGCTCCACCTCTTCCGAGCAGGGCATACCACCAAGCCAGCGGGTATGGCGTGTAACACCCTAGGTGTTTAGGCTTCCACTAAATTGCATTTCATTTCATAAACATATGCATCATCTATGTCATCATTGCCATTGTTACTAAAACATGCATATGCAACATTTTCAACTGTGTATGTTTCACCTTGATTGTTGTAAATAGTATTGGTGTAATCTGTGAATGCAACATAAATTTCTCACATCTTGAAGCATGGCAAAAT